AAAAATTAGCCGGGCATGGTGGCGGGCGCCTGTAGTCCCAGCTACTCGGGAGGCTGAGGCAGGAGAATGGTGTGAACCTGGGAGAAGCGGAGCTTGCAGTGAGTGGAGATGGCACCACTGCACTCCAGCCTGGGTGACAAAGCAAAAAATAAAAAATAAAAAAAGAATGAGCTGAGAGGTGCCCTGGCCCCTGTTCTCTGAATGGAAATACCTGATGTTTTACAAAGTAGAGCTAAAGTCTAGATACATAACTATTCAATTTTAATTTGAGGTTACTGTTTTAATTTGAGGTTACTATTGTTTAAAAAAAAATAGAAGGGAGATCCTTTAGACAGCAAGGGTTACTTACTTGGGACATTGAATAATATGTGCTTGCTTTCCATGAGAATTGCAGGGAGCTAGAAGACAAGAACAAGATTCAGAATCTCTTGGCTCTTGTGGGAACAGACGCTGGAGAAGTGACCTATTTTTGTAAGGAGCCACCTCACAAAGTAAGTAATCTTTGGTGGAGCATGGTGAGTGTGGCTTCACAAATCACAGGCTAGGGCCCATCGTCAGAAGAACGTTAGTATTCGCTAGAGAAGGCAGGTGGAGAATTAGCCATCATAGTGCCTTGTTTGCCTGAGTTGTTAAAGCATTTTTCTTCAAAAACCTCAGGAAGTAGCATCGTTTACCCCATTTCACTGTGTAGAAACCTGAAACACAAGAAGGGTGGCTGTTTGAGCTGAGACAGAGAGGAAAGCAGGAGCAGACTGTGTGTGGGAGAAAGTTTTGATTCTTAAGTTTCTTTTTTAAATCTTTGTTTATACTGATTACAAATGATATCCATGGTCTTCATTAAAAACAGAGTATAGTAATCTATCATGTAAAAGTGGCAGGTTCTCATAATCCTATACCCCAGAGACAATCCACTATTAATACTTTGGTATACATACCTCCATCTCTTTTTCCATTCCTGTAGAAATAGTTATGTATCTGTGTATACTATTTCTATTTTTTCACTTCTGTAAACAGTTCCTGAGCGTTTTTATACAGATCTGTATATGTATACTTCTGTTTCCTGAAGGTCCTTGGCCAAGAGCTACTTTTTTTTTTTTTTTTTTTTTTGAGACAAAGTCTCATTCTGTTACACAGGTTGGAGTGCAATGCGCAATCTCGGCTCACTACAACCTCTGCCTCCCGGTCTCAAGCACTCCTCCCACCTCAGCCTCCCAATCAGCTGGGGCTGCAGATGTGCACCACCACGCCCAGCCGATTTTTGTATTTTTTGTAGAGATGGGGTTTCACCATGTTGCCCAGGCTGGTCTGGAACTCCTGAGCGCAAGCAGTCTGCCCGTGTTGGCCTGCCAAAGTGCTGGGATTACAGGCGTGAGCCACCACACCCACCAAAGAGCTGCTTTTTTTTTTTTTTTGAGACGGAGTCTTGCTGTGTCGCCCAGGCTGGAGTG